CTCTTCTGTGTAATACAAGTGGAATAAGTAAATTGGTATCCAGTTTGTGGCTGTAGGGAGAAGGGTGTAATCTTACTCTAAATTTATGTGTAAGTTAGCATACTGTGGATCCCTTCTTGACTGGGACTCCTACAAATTCCTATAGCATAAGCAAATGTCGCAGTGCTTGCTAAAGACTACATTTTTTTACTTGATAATACCCTATAGCAGCAAGTGGCACACTGTGGATGCGAAAGGAATATACCTTCTGGTTTCTACCTTTACTGTATTCTAGTGGGTTTGCTGAAGCGGTGGATTTAACCATTGACTAATGATTTCCCAGTATAGCAGTCTTTAACCCAGTCAGAAAAGCATCCGCTAACGAGCTGTACTCGTAAACACAGGAGCTCAATGATAATTGTCCTCAGCGCTGTGAATTGCAGGGCTTTTCGCTGGGTGTATGCGCAGTGCTGTGATTGCGGTTTAGCGTGGACCGGTGGGCACTGGCTTCAAAGTAGAAGGCACTCTAGCCACAGCAGCACAGAATTCAAAACAACAAGCAGAGTAGAGTGGGGATCTTTTCTGATCGTTTTTAACTCCTACTGTAACAGCCATGTATTATCATGATCCTCTGATGGTTGAAATGGAACCGAAGGTTCAGCTGGTAGCAGAACAAACATCTATGCTGAGGCTTGGGAAGGCTTATTTTCATGCACAGTTGCAATTTTTTCTTTAAGGGAATTAAACACTTAAAGATAATACACTCCCATGTTAGAATGGGTTTCAAATGCTCAGTGACTTTAGCTGTCTTCTGTTCTTCCCATCTTCTTCCTTTATAACCAGGCCCTATGCTCATTCCTTCTTGTTTTCCCCAAAATTCACCTAAGCTTTGTCTCTAACTTATTCTTGTACTGTGCTGTACTTCTGAGACCAGCAAAGCAGGTAAATCCTGGACTGTCTATATGCTGTTATTTCTGTAGGCATGTAGCTGCATTTGCTCACACAAATAGTATTCAGATTGGCTCTATGAAGACAAGAGTCAGCACATGTTAAAGGGAAGTTCCTGCTTTTTTCTCCTTTGGTCAGGAAGACAGTTAATGTTTTACTTGCTAGTAAAAAGGTCTTAAAAGTAAGTATCTGGAAGAAAGAACCTGTGATCATGGGTCAACATCCTAGCTTTTGAGCAAGTGAGGAGTAAATGAGCCATCACATCAGTACAGATCGCCCAGACTTGATGTTTAGCTGGAGTAATCTGCACTGATGGCTTAACACTGTGAAGGCCATACTGGGTTAACTTAAATTTGGCTTGGGTCACTGGTGTCTGTTTGGTGGAGAGAGGTGGGCACTTCATCAGTCTCTGAATTGCCTTTGTTAGATCCTTTAAATTGCATGGATGAGAGCTGTTTAAAGCCACTGAGTAAGAAACGCGGCGGCCAAAGTGTTTGGATGGAATTCAAGCTGCCTGAATATGGCCTTTCTATCTTACCTGTGCCACCCTTCAGGGAGAAGATAGTGAGACTTCACCCATATCTGATACATGCCTGTATCAGTCTGGAGAGTTCCAGAAGTCACATGACTTTCCCCAGGATAAAACCAAGCTTGAGAGGGCATGAGGATACAGCAAGAAGGGGCAAAGGTTGGTGACTAGCTCGGCAAGCAGCAGGAAAAATAGGGGATGGTGGCAGGAGGAGCTGAAGCGATAGTTGGAGAATTTGGAAAGGTAGGTGGGAATGGTGAAGGGGGGGAGGGGTTTAGCAGGTATGAAAGACAAAGGCTTTTTTGGAAAGGAGAGAAAATGTCACTAGGATACTTGGGGCGAAAGGCTGCCTCTCCATAATGTGGTGGCTTTTTCTGCATCGATCCAGATACAGACATGCTTTTGCTAGAATTGAAGCACCGTGTTTTGGCTTAGCAAGCATCATTTAATCAAATGAGATGGAAGAAGTTAGCTGAAGAGTATAGTTTCGCAAGGTATTGTCCAAAAAAAAAGCTTTGCCAACCTCTCTTCCTCACTGACTGCTCGTTGGTACCCATGCTTTGCAATTCGCAGCCTGTTTTTTAAATGAAGTTGTGCTTTTCAGTAGTTTTGTGGGTCTGTAAAGCAGCTGGTGAAATGGATTTGGATAAAAACCTCCCCAAAGATACTGGTACTGGGAATAACTTGGCCAAGCCATCTGGTTTATAATGCACCCCCACAAAGTCGCAGGAGATGAACTGCAGTGTGACCTCAGGAGCAAATGAAGGGGAGCGTCTTGAGCTAACTTTGCCACTGAAGACAAGGTACCCTTTACCCTGAGCCACTCATATTTTGAATCCTCTTCTGCACAGGGAGATGGGAAGGAGTGATTGCATGTGGAAACAAATCCTTGTGAAGCTGTGGTAATAGAAAGGCAGCAGTATTAGCGTACAGCAAGAGGTGAGGTGTACGAAACGGGGCTTACAAGGAGGGGATACACAGGTTCCACTTGTCAGACTTTTGGTGCAAGGAAACGACCGACAGGCAGGGTGAAGGAACTGAAGAAATGGAAGGAGTCTTGTGGGATTAAAGAATGGGGGATACACAGGTTCCACTTGTCAGCCTTTTGGTGCAAGGAAATGACTGACAGGCAGTGTGAAGGAACTGAAGAACTGGAAGGAGTCTGGTGGGATTAAAGGATATGTGTAATGGCACAATTTACATGGTGCCTGTCTTCTACAGGATTTATATTCAGGAGTGTTTCTAGCCATAGTACTTAAAGTACTGTAACTGCAATGTGTGTGTAATAGTAACAAAACAGTAATAAAAATACTGATGAAGCTGTAAGTGTACCTCTAACACACAATGACTTCTGAAGCAACTGCAATGTGTGTGTAATAGTAACAAAACAGTAATAAAAATACTGATGAAGCTGTAAGTGTACCTCTGTTTAACACACAATGACCTCTGAAGCAAATCCTGAAAGAAGGGCTCATCTGAAAAATCAGATGGCAAAAAAAAAAGGTTGGAAACAAATAGTTGAAAATCTGGCTAGTGTGTTTTGTAAGTATCTGTGGTATTAAGGGTCTTTCCTGTGCCCTCACCGAGTTGTTAACCTACAGAGACTTTATCTGTATGCTAATAGAAAAATAAACTTTCTTCTTGGAAAAATAACCTAGCAGGGTAGGAAGGTAACTCTGCCTCCAGGACCGTTTTCAGACCGATACAGAGGTAATAGCCCACACAGATTCTGCATCCTGGGGGAGCCTCAGGAAAGGTTCTCTCCAGTCCAAAGAAAATATTGGGTCCCTCCCTTGGTTTTCACCTCCTGAAGTATAACCCCACACAGTCAACCAGCATGATCTGAGGGACATGTGGTTTATGGAACCAGAGAAGGGAGATTACACTTACATTCCAATAACTCAAGGAGGGTGGGGGTAAAAAAAAAAACAAACCACACAAACAAAAGCCCTTGCATCCATAAAACAATTAAATGTCATCTTTTTCCCTGAGCTGGTGTGTACTTTAACTGATGCTCTGTATTACTGTATGTGACTGGTCATGTGTAATTCTGCTGTAAAGCAGAAAGGTTTTCGACGTTACTCAGAGTAGGAGTGTGACACGGAAGACAACTGCAAAGAAATGTCTTCATTTTCTTTCTCACGCAGTGTGACCCAGCTCAGCGTTAGGAGAATCTTTATAAATCTGCCTTGTGATGGTTATAATAGCCTTTGCACCAGTGGCTGCTCTTCTCTAGATACCCTGAAAAAGTGATTTTGTGCTTATTGGTGCCCTGTGCTGTAAATGCCAAAGGAAGATGGTCTCCGAGATGCAAATGAATTAACAACGTTGAGAAATAAAAACCTTCATGAGGAATTTCGGAGCAAACAGATCTGTGAGCTGGCTGATAGGCATGAGAAATGCTGGTTTCTTGAATTCAGAGTAGCTTGCAAGCTAACTTTTTGTAAATCCATCTGGGGTGGGCTGAAATGCCTCTGAATGCTCTCTCTGGAAGGCTGAGCAAACCCAGACAGTTGTGTTCCCTGGGAGGTATGTGGGAGACAAAGGTGAAATCCTTTAATTTCACTGCAGTCTTAGAGCTTGGAAACTGGCCTACTGGAAACCTTATGCTGCTGTTGAAAAGTTTCTGAGCTACTGCTGGCCTGTCTGAACTCTTCAGATGTTGGCTTTAGCACTCTCCCAGCCTCTGAAATGTATCCCCTGTTTTAAGAGTAATGTAGTCTGTGTTAGGGGAAATCACCTGACAGGTGTTGACAATGAAGGAGTCTTTGTATAGTTACCCCAGACTCTCTGTAGTTAGTGGAGAGAAATGCAATTTTGGAATCACTCTTTAAGCACTGATAATTTATTTCTTTTTTTAACCTCCAACTCGAGATGAGGTGAAAAACAACCAAGACTTCACCTTCATTGTCTCAAGCTGTGGTGGAATTTACTTCTGCTTGACAATACAGAGCCCTGCAGTCACAGGTTTTTAAGTCTGTGAGTGCAGGTTATGCAGACCTGCTCGTGGAAGGTGCAGAGCATCAGCAACAGTTCCTCAAGGTCTGTCTTTTATTGCTGGAATGTACTAGTGAGAACGTTTGCACTCTAAAGCTAAGGATGGGACAACTTGGCTTAATTTATAAAGGGATTTTAGCTAACACTTTAACATAACACCTGCCTTACTTTTGGCTGATGTCGTCTTCTATTGTTATTGTTCTCAAACTACTGGAAGCCGTAGCTTTTGATGAAAACAGCCTTAAATTAATTTCTTCTGTCTGCTTTTTCCTACTTACTGTGCTAATAGCTGTTTTCAGTTGGCAAATGCACCTAGAAGTGGGATTAATGTATGTGCAGCCAAGTAATGAAGTATTACCTGCTGACGTGATTACATTACTTATGAGTGCTTATAGGTAAACCCATTGCATCCACAAAATGTTACCACAGCTGATGGATATGCTGCAATTATAGGATGCTGCCTTCATTTTATACCACATGCTTGATGGCATTTGTTTCCTGTCTTGATTAATCTTAGCGCTGTCTATTTGTCTTAGGTGGGACGATTAAAACACGACAATGGATTGGGGAGCTCTGCATACCATTTTAGGCGGTGTAAACAAGCACTCCACCAGCATCGGGAAGATATGGCTCACGGTCCTGTTCATCTTCCGGATCATGATCCTGGTTGTGGCTGCGGAGAGAGTCTGGGGAGATGAACAAGATGACTTTATCTGCAACACTCTGCAACCTGGTTGCAAGAATGTTTGCTATGATCACTTTTTCCCCATCTCTCACATCAGACTCTGGGCCCTGCAGCTGATCTTTGTTTCCACCCCTGCGCTGCTGGTGGCCATGCACGTAGCTTACAGGAGGCACGAGAAGAAACGGCAGTTCAGAAAAGGAGACCAGAAGTGCGAATACAAGGACATTGAAGAAATCAGAAGGCAGAGGTTTCGTATTGAGGGCTCCTTGTGGTGGACGTACACCAGCAGCATCTTCTTCAGACTGGTCTTTGAAGCAGTCTTCATGTATGCGTTTTATTTCATGTACGATGGGTTCCAAATGCCTCGCTTAATGAAGTGTAATGCTTGGCCCTGCCCCAACACCGTAGACTGCTTCGTTTCTCGGCCTACTGAGAAGACGGTGTTCACCATTTTCATGATTGCTGTCTCCAGCATTTGCATTCTTTTAAATGTGGCTGAATTATGTTACTTACTGACAAAATTCTTCCTCAGAAGGTCTAAAAAAGCTGGAAATCCCAAACATCACCCCAACCATGAGAATAAGGAAGAAACCAAACAAAATGAAATGAATGAGTTGATATCTGATAGCTGTCAGAACACAGTCATAGGATTTACGAGTAGCTAAGGTAGGGTCAGTGGTGGGGTTCACTCTTTTTGGAGTGAATGTTCTTTGTTTAAAGGCTGCAAAGGAAACTTGTTACATGAAACAATTTAAATTGGGTGAGACTGATACGTAGCGTCAGGTGTCAGTTATGCACATGACTGGAAAAAAAAAAGTCAGGGCAGCCTAAATGTGAGAATGGCATGAGGATTAAATAGGAAAGTGTGTCTTCCTGTGTGTACCCTTACAAGCTGATTATGACAAGTGGGAAACCCACTAGTACCTTTGTGCTGACACACTCCTGAATACTACATGCAACAGCAATAAGAAGAAAACTCTTTCCAAGCTAGATACTCTAGTATTACATTTTGTAATAGTGATAGTTTTTACTTGTGAACTGACAATTAAAGTATTTTTCTAAAGTCAAAGATTCTGTGTTACTTAAGGTGTTACAGTACACAACTGGCTATGCTTTGTTTCTTAACCTGGCGTATGCAGATTAACCCTGTAAAACCACATTTGTAGGGAGGAGACAGCGATAGGCTGCATCTTTACAGCTTTGCACGTGCTCCTTGAGCCTGGACAGGTCACTTGAGACACTTGGAACAGTCTGCTGGCAAAGCCCACCACGCGTAGAGTGGGTAACTGAGATAGCTAGGTCTTGAGTGTGCCGTCATGCCTAAAACCAGCACGACAGTACAGACACAGCCTAGGTAGACTTGCCTTAAACATCCAGCAGGCCTGGTAGTCTTATTGAACTTTTAATTGCATACTACCAGTTTTATAGCAACATACATAACTTTATGTAAACGTTTGTTTCTCTAATGTATTAGCTGTATTTCTTTATGCTATATCACATCATGGAATGCTTTTGGGTTTGATGTGTCTGCTTTTTTTTTTTTGGTAGACTGATGGTGCTGTTGTGGAACTGTGGGCTCTTTGGTTTGAAGGGCATCGAAAAGTATTACTGGAAACGGAACAAGTCTTCTGAATAAAAGGCAAACACTTTAACCTTTCTTAGTGATGTGAGAGTCTATATGTGAATGCTGGGGAGATCTTAGGCAGGACAAGTGCTTATCAAAAGTGGGTTCCAAGCAGGGCCTTTGCGCCCAATGTTCACATGGGGCACGTGCGCCCCTTGTTCCCAGCCAGAGCACTGACACCCCAATTCTGCTGCCCATACTCTAAGGGGGGGGTCCACATGTAACTTGAGTGCATGGGAGTGTGTGTTGTGGGAGGGGTATGCTGTTGAAAGCAGGGAATTCTGAGGGTCATAGAGGTGGGTGTAGGGCAAAACGGTAGCTATCCTGCTTTTGTTTGCTTCTCACCATGATCAAAATGTCATGAAGACGCTGACCTCAGCAGAGTTGCCTTTTTTTTTTTTTTCTTCCCCCCAGTGCAAATGGGTTAGCCTCAGTGTTTTTGTATCATGGAGCTACTCTTTCAAGGGGTGTAACAAAGAGCAGGTATCCCTAGGAGCAGAGGTTACACTCTGTTTTATCACCTGCCATTGTACCACGCTTACTCTTACAGGTGCCAGCGCAGCCCTGTGTGTGTCCATGCTGTAAGTGGGTTTGGGTTGGTTGGTGGTTTTATGTGGGACCTGTAGAACTCTAATGGGGTGCAGGCACAAGCAACGGGAGAGAGAAAATACCTAGTGTCAGCTCTGTCCCTGCAGCAGGGCCTGAGCTGAGCCCTGTCATTATCTATTCTCTTCTGCTGGCAAACTCCTGATCTTTCCTGCCTTCGCAGCACATTTTCTTTTTTAATTGCTGCTGTGAAAAGAAATTGCTGCTAGTCTTCTGAATGTGTCTACCGGCAAGCTCGGGGAAAAAATAAATACACAAAACTCTATTAGTGTGCTTGTGTTCTCCCTGCAGCCTGAAAACACAAGCCGAAGTGACAGTGCTGCGAAGGTTTGCCTTTGTAGGCCTTGTTCCTGGTGGCTGTGGCAATGGTGTAAACCTTTACTTAACGGAGCTGCTCCCTTTAGGGTCAGGAAGGTGGGTTCAAGGCTGTACGTCACCTTGCCCAGGGGCAAGCGGGAAGGATACAGGCTGTTGTGTGGGTCCCGGGGAGTGGAGACGCAGCTACTTCTGCTCCAGAACTGTGTTTCATGGAGCAGCTTGAGCTATGGACTTCATCCGGGGTGTGCTGTGAATCATGTACCACAGAGATTAGGGATGGAGATCAGTTAGTGATTATGCCGGGTCGTGTCTCACCATGTCCAGTGATCAAATTGAAATAGCCCTGGGCTGAATGTCTGTGGTTGGTTGACCCTGGCTGGGGGCCAGGTGCCCACCGAAGCTGCTTTATCACTGCCCTCCTCAGCTGGGCAGGGGAGGGAAAATACAGCAAAAGACTCGTGGATCAAGACAAGGACAGGGAGAGATCACTCACCAATTACCATCATGGGCAAAACAGACTTGACTTGGGGAAAATCAGTTAATTTATTGCCAATCAAATCATGAGTAGAAGAGAATTTAAACCAAATCTTAAAACACTTTCCCCCCTGTCCTTATTCCTGGGATCAGCTTTGCTCCCAGTTTCCCTACCTCCTCCTCTGGCACGGCATAGGAGGATGGGGAACAGGGGTTGTG